TCTGGCCATTCCACATTAAATTTAAAATAGTAAGCTGAGTGGTAGTGGCACATGTCTTTAATTCTAGCATTTGGGAGGCAGAGGCAAAAGTAGGGGGATCTCTGAGTTTGAGGCCAGTCCATAATCACAGTGAGTTCCAGGACAGCCACAAGTGCATAGAGAAACCCTGTCTCAAACCCCACCCCCCACCCACAAAGTAAATGAAACTCAGTGGCTTAGATTTCTAAGCACAGAACCATAAAAAGCTTTAAATTGTTTGTCTGAAGTAACAGTTTAGAAACTGTCTCACTACTTAGCCTAGAACTTGTTATATGACCAGGCTAGCCTGAAACTCACCAATATCCCCCTGCCTCTGCCTCCAGAGTGCTGTGATTAAAAACATGTGCCACCATACCTAGCTTAGTAACAGATGCTTACATTTTATTTATTTATTTATTTTAGTTTTTTGAGACAGGGTTTCTCTGTGTAGGAACCAGGCTGACCTCAAACTCAGAGATTTGCTTGCCTCTGCCTCCTGAGTGCTAGCTAGGACTAAAAGCATGTGTTACCACCCAGAAGTCAGAGGGTTTGTTTGTTGTTTTGTTTTTAGATTAATTAACTTTTGGGACAATCTCTGAGAGGTATTATAACTCTGAAGGGGAAGGTTTCACCAATGGAAGTGTTGCATCTCTGAAGGGAAAGGTATCCTGGTAGTCAGGAGTCAAGGAATACCACAAAGTCACACCACACAACAAACCTCATACAAGAAATTTATTAGGAACAACATAGGAGAGTGGCTGCTTCTGCTCCAGGGAGGAGCATCAGGGGACTGAGCAGGAGGAGGGGGTTTATATAGGGTTTCTTGGGGGTGGAGTTTTTCAGGGTAAGGTTGTTAACAATTCAAACCAAACCAGGGGTTGGTAGGCTATCATGCTCAGGGATTGGTGGGTTTTTGCAGGCTTTTAAACCTGAAAGTAGGCCTAGACTTTTGATCCTACCCAGTCAGCCTTGAAATTTTAGCCCTTCTGCCTCAGCTTCCTAAGTGCTGAGACTAAAGACATAGGTCACCAGATCTGGCAGTCTTTGTCAAGACTTTTGTTTGGTTTTTGTTTTTTGTTTTTCGAGACAGGGTTACTCTGTGGCTTTGGAGCCTGTCCTGGAACTAGCTCTGTAGAACAAGCTGGTCTTGAACTCACAGAGATCTGCCTGCCTCTGTCTCCCAAGTGCTGGGACTAAAGATGTGTGCTACCATTGTCCAGCTTTGTCAAGACATTTTAATTTTAACGTAAAAGTATAAATTTGTTTGTTTATTTTTCTGTTTTTGAGACAGGGTCTCACTAGATAGCCTTGACTAGTCTGGAGTACACTATGTAGACTAAGACAGCCTCTAGCTTCCAGAGATATGCTTGCCTCTACCTCTTGAGTGCTGGATTGAAGGTGTGAACCATCATGTGTGTCTTCAATTTCTAAAGATTTCTTTCTTTTTTTTTTTCTTTTCAGGGTTTCTCTGTATTGCTTTGGAGCCTGTTGTCATGGAACTAGCTCTGTAGACCAGACTGGCCTCTGAACTCACAGAGATATACCTGCCTCTGGCTCTCAGGTGCTGGGTTAAAGGCCTGCTGTGCCACCAACCTTGTTGGTTTGTTTTTTAAGACAGGGTTTCTCTGTGTAAAATCCTAGCTGTCCTAGAACTCACTGGGTAGAACAGTCTGGCCTTGAACTCACAGAGATCTGCCTCCTAAGTGCTGGGATTAAAGGGGTGTGCTACCACTGCCAGACTCCAATTTCTAATCTTTTGAAATTTAAACTATACACACATATAAACTTTAACATACTACCTAATTCAATCTTTTAATTAATTTCTAACTAATATCAAGAACTTAGTTTTTTTTTTAACTTAAACAGCACAATTAGGGGAAGAGAGATTAATTTACTAGCTAAAATTTATAAGTAGTTATTAATTTGGGAATAAAACTCACACTATTTCTTTTTTCCCCTTGGTGAGTTACCACATCTCTCTTAAATAGACTTGGTCTCAAGGGACACATTATCTTCTGTATCTCACTTCTAGTTTAATTGTGGAATTCAAAACACAAATGACTTCTTGCAGGTTAGTTTTATTATAAACAATTGTTTCTTCAGAAATATTCTCCTTTTTCTGTCAAATATTTGCTTAATTATATAGTTAAAATGAACTTTAAGCAACTTGTTTTAACTTCTTAATTTTAAGTTGAAATATTGAAACAAATTTAACTTTTTTAAAAATCATATTTTTCCAGGTGGAGGTGGTACTTGCCTTTAGTCCCAGCACTCAGGAGGCAGAGGCAGGCGAATCTCTATGAGTTTGAGGCCAGCCTAGTCTACAAGGGCTAGTTTCAGGACAGCCTTCAAAGCCACAGAGAAACCCAGTCTTGAAAAACCAAAAAAAAAAAAAAAAAAAAAAAAAAAAATCATATTTTATAGGGTACTTGGAAGGACCCTTGCTAACTGAGGTGTCCCTATTCCTATTTTAAGGGACTTTCCTTATGTGGGTTGTTTGTGATGGAAGCTAAGTTACTTGCTTTCACCTAAACAGAGAAGTTGGCATGTCTGCCTAGCAACAGCCGCTAAAACCTTCTGTTGTGGAAGGTTCCCTAGGAGTGAGAAGGGAGGAGGAGGAGCAGGAGGAATAGATTAATTTGATTTTCCTAATAGGGGACAGAGGTCTGGTTGTTTGAGAAGGAAAAAAAAAAAAAAAGGCTTTCCAAGAGATAGTTTTTAGATTAGTACATGCTAGCCTAATCCCTATGACTGCTAGAAATTAGGCCTGGTTTACTGCAACAGCCAGGCTCTTATCTGGAAGATATGTTCCCAGGTGTTCAGCAGATGACTGAACTGAAGGGAGGTAGTACAGAACCCTCACTCTCTATGTTTACCTATACATAAGACTAATTAGGTTTAATTTACAAGTTGGGCATAGTTAGCAGAACAATTATAACAATATATTATAAAAATTCATTGAAAACTCATGAATTGTTTCTGGAATTTTTTTTTCATTTAACATTTTTGGTTTTTAGTTGTTCAGAGGTAACTGAAATTATAGAAATTTTAGATAAGTGGGGACTATTGTATTCAGTAAATAGATTATAGATTTAGCTCACTACAAAAGCAACAAACACAATCAATAAAGACACCAATAAATATAAAAATAAGCTGAAATTTTACCAGCAGGAAGTTATAATCAACTACAAAGAACTTTTCATAGATGTTTAGGCAAGTGTGTGATATTTTAGAGATGATTATAAAAACTACCTGACCTATAGTCCTTGGACCTATAGTCCTTGGAAGTTGAGGAGGGAAGCTAGCCCCATGAGGCTAGCTACATTGTGTGTTCCAGGCCACCTGGGCTACAGGATAAGAGCCTGTCTCAAGAAACAAAACCTAGCCAGGGATGGGGCATATACCTATATAATCTCAGCTTTCAGGAGGTAGAGGATCAGGACTTCTAGGCTAGCCTGGACTACAGAATACCTTGTTACAAAAACTTAACTAACCCAGCTAAACCAAACCAAACCAAACCAAATCCAACCAACCAACCAACCAACCAACAAAACAAAAGAAACCAACAAACACCCAGTAATTGTTTATTGAGCGAGAGGTAGAAGTTGTTTTTTGTTTTTCTAATTAATGTTGGGTGACTTTACAGTGAAGAAAGGACAGGCTTGGGCATGGGCATAAGCCTTTAATCCCAGGCAGAGCCAGGAGGATCTCTGTGAGATGGAGGCCAGCCTGGTCTACAGAGGGAGTTTTGAGACAGCCAAGGCTACATAATAAAGAGAGCCTCTCTCAAAAAACAGAAACAGAAATAAACAAAAGGACAGAATCACAAATTCTCTGCTTTCACAGCCAAAGCCGGAAAGCAAAAAGCAGAGTGCAGTGTGGGGATTATTAAAGGGCGTTTGTTTGTTTGTTTATTTATTTATTTTACATTTTGTTTTGTTTTGTATTGTTTTTTGAGATACAGTTTCTCTGTAGCTTTGGAGGCTGCCCTGGAAGTCCCAGAGATCTGCTGGGGTTAAAAGTGTGCACCATCACCTTTAGCTTGAGGATTGTTTTAATGAGAAATTAGTACGGAATTGTATTAGAATTCCATTTCTTTTGGTTCTCCAGAACAAGTGTTTGGCTAAATTGAATTCTGACAAAGATGTGCCCGTTTTCCCAAACTAAACCAGTATCTTTATTCCAGTAGGAGTAAAAACCATCTGCAGGAAGTACCAAAGTTTAGGAGTTCTTTCCTCTGAATCGTTTTCCCTCCTTTCGTTATGGAGTACCTCCTTGCTTAAGACATTCGTAGCAGTCCCGTACAGTCCGTGGGGGCAAAGGCTGGACTCTCTGGGGACTCCATAAGAATGCTGACAAAGGCAAAAGTGAAGGGACGGAGGCCAGGATAAAAGAAAACCATCTAACACAGACCAGACAGACAGACGGACGGACGGACGGCTGAGGGGAAGGTGGGGTGTAAGTAAAAAAGATGCAAGAGTAGAAGAGTTCCGAGCTGATAAAGTGAGAAGCTCAGAGGCAGCGAGACACTCTGTAGCAGCGAGCGCACGGACTTGCCTGCCGGGACCAAAGGCGCCGTGGCCACGGGCCCGGCGGGCGGCGGGGGAGGAGGTGGGACCAGTTTCTCGGCTCTGGGCGCGACCGCGCTCGGGACACGGGCGGGGCGCGTCCTCCCGCTCCGGGCAAGGCGTTGGGTCTGGTGACTCAGAGCTTTCCTCCGGGCCACGCCCTTCTCCGGCCCCGCCCCACCTCGTTAACCACGCCCTCCACTCCGTTGGCCCCACCCTGTGAGGAGGGGCCTCACCTTCATCTCCGCCCCAGTCTCGGGGCGGGACGGAGCCTGAGGAAGAGGAAGGGGACGAGGACAACGAGCGACGGGCGGCGGAGGACGCGGAGGAGGAAGGGGAGGCCGACCAACAAGATGGCCCCTGCTGCAGGAGCAGCCTCAGCAGCAGCAGGTGGGGGACTGGAGGCGGCGCTGGCGGTGGCGGCTACGGCCGTGGTCCCGCGGCCTGGGACAGAGTCAGAGTCGATGGTGGCAGCGGCGGCGGCGGAGGCTGCCGCGACGGTGGCGACGGCCGCAGGGACCCGGAGCTGAGAGGAGCTGCTGCTCGGACCAGCGCGGTGAGCAAGTGGCGGGCGGCAGCGTGGGGAGCGGGGCGGCGGCGGCCGAGAACAATAGGCAGCGGCGGCGGGGATGGGGCTGTCCTCCCCCGCCCTGCGTCGGGACCGGCCCCGGGGCTTGTCAGTGGCCGGCGTCCTTTAGGCCTCAGGCCTCCGCGTGCCGCCCGGAGGGCCTGCCGGGGTAGGTAGGCCGAGGGGCGGTGCAGACACCGCCCTGGACGGAAGGAAGGTTGGGGCGGGGAGGGTGAGGGTTCTAGGCTGGCCGGTTCCCGGTCCCCCGGAGGACAGCTGGCGGGCCAGGAGTTGCTCTTAGAAAATGTTGTTTGGACCCCTGTCTGTGCGGTGGGGGAGGGAGAAGGCGCCTGTAAACAGCCGCCGCTCCTGCCTCGCTGCCAGGCGTGGCTGCTCCTCCCCCAGCCCCCTTCCTCGACCAAGTGGGTTTTTGGGTGTCGGTTTCCCTGGAGTTCCTGTAGGTAAACTCTATTGGCCAAGGCGAAACCATGTGCAGGTGCCTTTTTCGAAAAGACTTAAGTGCCACAACAACAACAAAAATACACAGAATACGGTTGTTGGTAAAGGATGGAGAGTAAGGGGTGGCCCTTTCCTTAACATCATTCTAAACAGCAGGTCTCTGTAAAAATCAGTGGACTCACATCCCTGGTGATGGTGAACTGAAACAAGGGCTCTTTTGAAGCAGCAATAATATAACTCTTGACATCCCAGAATAGTCAGTGAAACTGGAAACAAAGCCGCTTACTGGCAACGCGGAGACAGATTGTTAAGGTTTGAGCAGAACTTTTCCAGCTAGACGTTTTGAATTGTGTACGGCAGAGGAAATAACATTAACCATTCTGGTAAAGTGCCTATCTTCCGGAATCACTTAGTGAGGACAGAAGTAGTTCATTTGTCCCTTTACGATTTCTTCTGTTTGTTCTAATATTTTCGCCAATTTGCCCTAAAAATTATTGGAGAGGAACCTTTTTCTCTGTTTGAAAGTTCCTATTTAAAGCCTACTTTCTGATATTTAAGAAACTTTTAGCCTGGCGTTGTGATGTATGCCTGTAATCCTAGTACTCTAGAAGCTGAGACAAAAAACAAAAACAAGCAAGCAAAAACCAAATAACCAGCCAAACACTAAACAGTTGAAACTTTTACTGATAATTAAAGAAAAGAAAAACAATAATTGTGACCTGTTTTAAGTGGCAAGCCTTAGGGTGAGACAGCCCTTATTGTATATAAAGTATATTATACTGCAGTAATATCTTAAAACTTAGATTAACTTTTTCTCTTAAACTTAATTTTTCAAGTCGTTTACCACATATATTTTCAAGTAAGGGGTGGGGTGAGTTCTGTTCCAGTTTCTACTGTGTATGCAGAAAATTATATTCAAAAGCTTGAATGCGTTCAAGAAGACTGCTTAAGATCACTTGCAGGATCTATTAGGGGCTTTGTATTTCTTCCTTTAATTGTTTTGAAGACTGGGTCTTGCTGTAGCCCTATCTGGGCAGGAATTAACAATCTTCCTGTCTTAGCTTCCTGAATGCTGGGCTGAGTTCACATTCTTTTAATTATTTTCTTTTATTTTCTATTTTATTTTATTTTTGAGGCAGAGTTTCTCTGTGCAGCCTTGAGTTTCTCTGTGTAGCCTTGGCTATTCTGGAACCTGACCTTGACAGAAATCCACCTGCCTCTGTCTCCTGAATACTAGAATTAAAGGTGTTCATCACACTGCTGCCCAGCTAAGTTAGCATTCTTTTTGTTTGTTTGTTTTTCTAGACAGGGTTTCTCTTGGAGCCTTGGAGCCTTTTCAGGAACTTGCTCTATAGACCAGGTTAGCCTCAACCTCACAGAGATCCACCTGCCTCTGCCTCCTGAGCACCTGGTTATGAATTAACATTCTTAAAAGGAAAATACTGATTGATAGCTTTTGCCAATTTCGAGGGTAAATTCCTAATTAGAATTTATTTCTGTCATTGTTAGAAGCATTGTTCAGTAATTTGAAATTTAATTACTAGTTTCTAGATCTTCTTTAAGAATTAGTGGTGAATAATTATAAAACATATAAATTGAGCCATCTTATTTAGGGATTGAAGTATAGTGTAGCAGATTCATAACAATAACCTTATTTTATGCCTTAACATAGTATTGCCATGGATGATTTGATCTTTGGGATCATGGAGAAGCAACTTTTACATTACATGGTTCCTGCTAATGTGACCTGTGACTTTTGGATGGGGTGGCCAAGGATTTCAGAATACTTTTCTTTTTGTTGTTGAAGAACTCAAATTGGTGGTTTTTCTTTTCATACTGAATTTTGTTAGGCACAGATAAGAGAATCATGTGTATTGTAATGATACTTATGTTTATTTGTGGCCCTGAACATATTGCAACAATTACATAATACTAATTTATGAGTTTGTAGAGTTTAAGTTAGGAAAAAACCTCAATGTTTCATCAAGAACTTAATAATTTCATTTGAACCAGGAAGAGTTGGCTCAGTGGGTAATGCTTGCTCTGTAGGTGTGAGGACCTAAGTTCAAATCCCTAGCACTCAAGTAAAAAACCAGGTATGATGTGCATGCCTGTAAACTCTCACTGTGCTGGGGACTGGACAGGAGGATCAGTGGGTTTCTGGTCACCAGCCTAGCTCTAGATAAATTTTTTTTTTTTTTTTTTATTATGTTTTAAAGACAGGGTTTTTCTGTGTAACAGTCCTGACTGTCTTGGAACTCACTGAGATGTGCCTGCCTCTGCCTTCCAAGTGCTTTAATAAGGGATACACCACCATCATCTGGCTTATTTATTATTTTTTAAGATAGGATCTTACTATGTAAGTTGACTTTCCTGGATCTTGCTATATAGACCCAGTTGACTTCAAACTCTTAGAGGTTGTCTGCTTCTGCCTCCTGAATGCTGGAATTGAAGGCTTGTTCCACCATGTCCAGCCTTTAGATTGCATTTTCTTAGTAATATTAAGAGTTAAAAAATCTGTTGAATCCTATGAATAGATTGGAAAGGTGAATATTGTATATCATTTAAAAAATTACAGTGTTGGGGAGTGTATTTGGTTCTATGGTAAAGTGCTTGCCTAGCATTCATGAGAGCTTGGGTTCTAGCCTCAGCACTAACCGTTGTCATCAATATCAACAACAACAAACCAATGTGGTGTGGTGGCACATGCCTTTAATCCTAGCACTGGGAAGGAGAAGGCAGCAAATCTCTGAGTCCAAGGCCAGCCTGGTTCCGGGAAGGCCAGAGCTGTTACACAGAGAAACCCTGTCTTAAACCCCCTCCCCCCATTCAAAAAAAAAAAAAAAAAAAAAAAAACCAAAAACCAAAAAACCCAAACCAATCCCCACCCCAAAGTTATGGGTACTTGCTCTTAGCACTGTAGAGGCAGAGGCAGGAGAATCATTGCAAATTTGATACTAATCTGGGCTACAGAGTAAGTGCCTTAAGGAAACAAATAATAACGTGTGTGTGTGTGTGTGTGGTTTTTGAGAGCATATTCATTACAAGCATTTTAGTTTTTTTAGTTTTGTTGCATTACTGGTTGCTTTGTTACCCTTATTTCACATATACAGAATCTGGGGTTAGAAACAGCTAAGTAAATAGCAAGGTCCCATAATTAATAGGTAAGAATGAACTGAAACCTAGGTTTTGACACAAATTAGCTATTTTACCATAGCCATCACATGTGTCGTTCTAAAACCTAGAGGTACCTTCTGTATCAACAAATATCTATTTTCTATTGTGAATTATGTTTTATATATAATATTGTATTTGACCCCTAGCTTTCTGCTGCTTGTATACTGCCAAATACTTATATAATCAAGAAGTTGTATATTTGAATTTTTAAAAGAATGCTTAATTTTTCTTTTTAGTAGGTTCAAATGTGATAAAATATTCATATTTTTATCTTCAATTTTTGTGTATTAATGTATGTGTGTACACTATTTTGATTTCTGCAGAAGTCAGAGAAAGATATAGATCCAGATCCCCACGTGGTTGGTTGTGAGGCACCATGTAGGTGCTGGGAACCAAACTCAGGTTCTCTATGAGAGCAACAGGTACTCTTAATCTCTGAGTTATCTCTCCAGCACCCAGAAACTCACATTTTTAGCAAGATAGATTTTGGCATTGTTACAGTTTGTTATGCAATTATTAAATTGTACCTTTAAATTACTTCGTAAAAATTAAAAATAATTTTAATGATATATAATGATGTTAAGCTAGCTCATCTGATACTTGATATGTTTTTCTCCCCTTCTTATTCCATAGCTCATTTAGAATTCTACAATGTCTTCAAGACTTTAAGGCCTTAATATGCATTTGATGGGGTCCAATTAGTCTGTTTTTCATGTATCTATCAGTGGTCAGTCTCCCTCAAAGTGAACAAACTGTTAAATGATCCCTGTTTGGGGACTGTCTCGGGTCAGGATGTTCCTTGGCAGGGTTTTCTGACCTGGTTTAGCTTTGGCTCTGACTATATTTATGCTCAGGGGTCAGGTATTCTTCAGGATAGGTTTCAGAAAAACTTCTCAGATTGGCCTGTACCAGAACACAGATTTCAAAATCACTGTGCTTCCTAGGATTTAGTTGAGTATCTCCTAGTCAAGGCTGGATTGAATTGCCTTTGTAGGTTAGAGTGTAAGAGTAATTTTGTCAAACATTTATATAAAGAAATTTTTACTTTAGTGTTTAAGATATTTTCTTGTATTTTGAGGCATGAGATTTATCAGTCTGTAACAGCATTGTCCTATAGACCCTATGTGCTCTTTAGCCCTTTAGTTATTATTTTCTTTTGTGTATATATTTGTGTGTGCATTTACCTATTAGTGTGAGTGTGTGAATACAGGTGAAAGCCAGAGGAAGGTGTTGAGAGTCTCTTCAATATCAAGATGACTTGTGTGGGGGTAGGGGGGGTGGGGGGGGTGGGCGTATGCATGCTGCAGCATGCACACAGAGGTCAGAGGACAACTTGAAGGAGATGGTCTATG